GGGAAGAAGATTCCAAAGTTGTTATGGGATTCTGATCCATTAGAAGGGTTAGGCTTCAACTATTACTACTTTTGAAACATTCTTGTATTCAGAATTAGGCCATAACTATTATCAAATATTGAAATGGTTTTAGTAAACTTCAATTCATGTTTTGTATGCAAGATGATTCTTCTAACGATTGTAACAGTTTGTGGTTTCTGTAGGGTCTTGAAGCCAAATAAAGTTGCTTTCAATAGCATGATTCTTTCAGCTATGAGGACATGCTCAATTTCTGGGATTCACACTCTTTGTCCTAAATCAAGCGCTTCAGTTTCTTTAAGGTCTATGAACGCAAGCTCACAGTCCTTTTCTACCACTGATTCACCACTCATCACTTTAACAACTTCACTCATTCTTTATCCCCGTTCATCAATAGTTGTGTCAAGCCATCTCTCCCCATCAGATATTCCCCAGAAATCAGAAGAATGGTTTGCTTTACGGAAAGACAAGTTAACCACTAGTACTTTCAGTACAGCGCTCGGCTTTTGGAAGAAAAACCGGCGTTCTGAGCTCTGGCATGAGAAGGTATATGACTTAGACTCACGAGTCGTGGATGATTCTGCACGGTTTGCAATGAACTGGGGTGTACAGATGGAATCAGCTGCGATTGATAGGTACAAAAGAATAATGGGATGTGAGGTTGGCTCAATGGGATTTGCTCTTCACTCCCAAGAGCAGTTTCACTGGCTTGGTGCTTCCCCGGATGGAATTCTCGATTGCGGTATTCTAGAAGTGAAATGCCCGTACAACAAAGGCAAAACCGATACTGTATTACCGTGGTCCAAAGTGCCATTCTATTACATGCCTCAGTTGCAGGGTCAAATGGAGATAATGGACCGGGAATGGGTCGATTTGTACTGCTGGACACGGAATGGAAGCGCGGTTTTCCGAGTGATGAGAGACCGAAGCTATTGGGGAATCATACATGAGGTATTAAGGGAGTTCTGGTGGGAGAATGTGATTCCTGCAAGGGAGGCTTTGTTGTTAGGGAAGGAGGATGGGGTAGTGAAATCATATGAGCCAACATCTACGCACAAGCGAACCGGGCTTGCCATCGCCAAAAGCATAAGTTTGGCTGCGGAATCAAAACTAGTATGCAGAGAAATCGCTGATCATGTTGAGTTCTTTAGATGAATCTGAAATTCTCTTTGTATCTTTTGATTCATGAGCTGATCCATCCGAACAGTTTGCGCTTTATATTTTTATGAACTGGTGAAATCATGCAGCACTAGTTAATCATATTAATCGAATTGTATTATAGAATATCTGGTTATCAGAGAGTCCTACTTCTATTGCCTGTGAAATGTTTTCATTGTAAAGATATGTGGAAACAGTTGGAGCAAAGATGGCCTAATTTTCAGACAGAAGAAGAAAAGGACAAAGGATTGATTCTTTGTGCCAACCAAGCAAGCAGTTGACCAGAAACAGAGAGGAATGTAGAAAATTAGGAGTTGGTTACC